AGGAAAGAGTAATGATTCCGTGACAAGTGGTATCAGAGCAAACTGAATTTCGTCTAACTCACGCCAAGCGCCTGAGTCCAGGGAAACTCAGGATAGGTAGGATGGTCGACGGTAACAAAGACGTTGCTGAAATTGAGTGAAAAAAAATATCATAAAAAAAGTACTTCTATTTCACATTAAATAAAAACGAGAACTCTTAAATTTTTTATAAGTGAATGTACTGTATACTCCTATAAGTGCATTTATGAAAACACACCTCATAAATACGTTTATGATATAAAAAATAATGATCCTGTGATAAAGATGCTTTGTTGTAATTTGATCGGTCATGCTTTTCCTAGCTTGGTTTTTCGCAGATGGTGAGCAACTTCCATGCTTGGTTCGGACAAAATCGTAAAATGGGTTGCGTGTGTTATTGGGTTTCTTCAGGACAAACTTTCCTACAGTGACCCAAAAGCTTGCACGTCCAAGATAACCTCTTACATCTCCGTTTTCATTGGTTTTAGCTACTGAACTTCATCTTGAATTCTCTTTTGTTTTGCAATCTCTCTGAATTATCTTTTCCTCTCAGTAGGTCAAACCCCTTGACCGATTGACGAATGGATCATTGCTAAAACATCATGCTTGTTCTGGTCCAAGATACTGTTTCAAGAACTAGTTCTATTAAGCAATAGAGAAAGGATGGAAGGGTCAAGCTTGAATGTTTAACAGCGAGGACAGTTAAGGTTGAATGTCGAATAGTAGAAGTGTTTCATTTATATTAGTTTTAGATCTCTTACTTTTACTATTACCTAGTTATCTCAAGTACTATAATAACTCTTTTACTTTTCCTAGAGTTATAATTAGTTGGTAAAGTTGCGTTTCTTTTGGTTGTCAGCTCGTATATAAATTAGTGATGTAACAACTCCTCCGTTCAAGTAAAAATACATACATTCTTTCATTTTCTGGTTTGCCGCCTTAATATTTCCGTCAGTTCTTCAGAGGTTTCGAACAAATTTTGGGAAAAACGTTATGCCGGGTCTGAATCCCTCCACCAAAATGTGTTTCATGCAAAAGGAAATTCTTTAGCGGCGAAGGAAGTATTCGAAAGGGTCCCATGAAGGGAAGTTTCTGCCATTGTTTGTTTCAGGTGTGAACAAAATCTTAGCTAGTTGGAGTTTTGGGTGCATTACGCGGGTTGTTGTGAAGACTGTGACCCAGTTGAATTCCAGACCCACCGAATAATGATCATGGAAATCAATCAAAA